CACCCTTAGGTGATCGCCTAAGACTCAGCCAAACTCTACTATCAAACTCTAAAATTTTTATTTCTTTATATTATAAAGCTTCCTAAAATTTTTATTTCCTTCTTACTATCAAACTCTAGCCAATAGAAAGGCCCCATAATTTTTATTTCCTTCTATTGCAACTTTCAATTTTTTTTAGTTGTTCATATTATAATATCCTTAAAATTTTTATTTTCTTTCTATTATTAAACTCTACCCAATAGAAAGACCCCAAATTTTTTTATTTTCATATATGGACAAAACTTAGGCAGTGTGACTAGTGAGGATACACACTGATGTGGATAAAAAAGAACAATATTAGGTCCACATTATTGAGGATCTACACTATCCTCATTGTTAATCTCAGTAATCATACTTGATATCCACATCTATTTAATTACCGAGGACATCAAGTATGACAGTGTGTGAGAGAGAGAGAGAGAGAGGGAGACATTGCTCATCGTGTGAAAGAGTGTCTGATTTAAGTACATCATAAATTAAAAGAAAAGAAAGGAAAGAAAATATTAGTATTTTTAATGAGATTTTGTTAATTTTAAATTTATTTTAATTTTTATGAAATACAAAATCTATGTAATGTCTGTGTCTATATATATATATATATATATATATATATATATATATATATATATATATAGGTTAAAAGAAATTTTTTTTATTTAGCTGTGGGACCCACTTATTTTATGTTATCATGTGCCAAATGGGATTACAGACCCATTTTTTCTGTTCCTTTTCTCTCTCCCCGCTGCCTTTCTTCCTCTCTGTTTTTCTTTTTTTTTTTTTTTTTTTTTTCTTTTTCTTTTGCAACTTCCACTTTTGATTTCTTCCTTCATCCTTGGTAGATTTTAGAGCCGTTTGAGGCAAAACGAAACCCACAACGAGCTCTACGCGCTAGTGTAAGCAATTTCAGATTTGGTCTTCCTTGGGACTTCGAATTTAGAGACCCATTTTAAGGGTTTTAGCTCACTTTTGAGGTAAGGACACCTTAATCCACTACCTTCTTGTTCCATTGTGAGTTATAATCATTTGTTGTGCCAAGCATGCTTAATTAGAAGTTAATTGTATCAATGATTATTTTAAATGTTGTTCAGAGAAATTCATGTATTTGAATGTGAGTTGTTTTATGTGTAAAGCATGCTTAAATTTATTTTGTTGTATCTTAATGTGTTAATAATTACTTGGGAGATGTTGAATGTTTAATTTTATGGTGTAGAATTTTAAATGCCATGACATTGAATGTATGGAACATATATACATGCATATACCATTGGGTTTGCATGAAATGGGAGAAATTGTTCTTGAAATAAATATGGGGAATTTCAGGGAAGTGTTTTTGATGAAATGGTTTTATGTGAAACCCGGTCGCCGCGGGGTTACCAACGGGCCGGAGGTTAATATAGCTTAAAGGGGACTAAGGAGTCGCCCTAGCGTGGTTGAGCTAGCTGGGCCCCATAATGACGCCGCGGGGTTACCAAGGGTCAGGGACACTAGCCAATCCTCCTCTCGTGTCGCGGCGGGGCTACCAAAGGGCGGGCTGTATTAACAGTTTGGAAACGATGTTTTGGATTATGAAAATGGGGAGCGACACTAGCATGCATTGCATCTCATACCATTGCATTGGATATACTTGAGATTGAATCGTTATGTTGTATTATTTCCCGACATTGTATGATCCCCATTTTCCATTGGCCTATGCTTTATTTGGATTCACAAGGACACAAGATGTGTGTCTTAAGTGTCACCTGCTGAGCTTTATGCTCACCCTATTATTTATATTATTTTTTTCAGGTCTCGGAAATGAACTGGTGGACGACAATTCACTTCAAGCTTGAAAGTTGTTAGAAGGTTGTTTGCTATTTTGTATTTTGACCGTTCTATGTATATTCGTAGTTGTGGAAATATAACTAAGTTAGTATTCATGGCCTTATAACTTAAGAACGAACTTATCTTTTGTTTGATGTAAATGAAACTAATGGAATTATGGTATATGTTTCCATACAATTGTATCATGTAACGTTGTAAGACAGGGACTTTAAATCTTAACCATGTATTTTGGGACTGTAATTATGATAATTTAGATTCATTAGTGTGTGGATGTTTCACCATGAGAGGAACTATGTTAAGGTATAATGAACGGATGAATGGGATGCTGGATGATATTATGTGTTTTGTGTATTGGGACAGGTTGTTGAAGGCCCATTTTTAGGGGAGGTTATGCCGAATTTTTTTTAAATTTTGGCATCAGCTAAGGTCGTTTCACATTAAATCACAAGCAGATTGCACTAAATCACAAGCAGATTGCACATACATAACACGTGTGACTTAGATTAATACGATACACGATTTGTCGAGCGCACCCAATACCTTCTCCCTTTTTAGCCTCCCCTTTCAAAACAATAAATGATTCTCCAAGGGTATTTTATTGATGTAGGTAATAGTCCCTTCAAAACAATAAATGCTTGTCGAATGAAAGGCCCGAGTCTGAACGCTCTAAGTTTCACGAAAGACTCTTATCCAACAAGACTGCGAAGTTTGCTACAGATCACTTACTGAGATTATGTATATATATAATTAGCAAATATTGGAGATTTTGAAAAATCCTAATTGAGTTTATATTTATGTAATATCTAATTATATATTTAATGATTTAAAAAAAAAAAAATGATTCTTCGGTTATTTCACATTACAATAAAGGTTAATAAATTTGTTCTTTTTTCTTTTTTCAACAAAGTAAAAGAATAAATGATTAGTACACTGCATGAGCCTCTTGCAAGTCTGAAGAGTGAAGCCAAGCCTTACGTCCATATGCAAAAAAATACTCGTGATCCATTATCCACCCTTAAATAAGCACACCAACAAGTGTTATGTGTTATAGATATCACATGTCTAAAGTTAATAATTAAGGTCAACCTAAGGGAATGCCATTATTTTTTATCCTAATGTATAAGTGAGAATTCTTCATTTCACTATTGCAGTTGCTGTCTTTTGTAGCTAATTGGATTATTAGTTAATAGAATTTCTTGATGATTAAAACCTGAACACATAATAATATATTTCCATCATGTTGAACTGATCAATTAAAATTTTCTTCCAACTCAAACAATACAGTATTTATAATTCGAAATCCATGTAAAAAAACACATGCAATAGGGGTAGTAGTTGATGTATAGGTGGGGTGTTAAGTAACCGCTACCTCTAGTTACCCAATAAAAAATGAAAATGGTTGTTGTACTTAATCCAATCTTATATATAGAAGTTGACCGGAAGGTATTGGGTACGGCCGGCATATCAAGTACCGGATTCATCTAAACAGTACTTGTGTACGTACAAGCACGTGTTGTGATTGTACGGCACAATGAACCCGACTCACTCAATATCAATATCTATTCGGTGAATAGGCCTGGCTGAAAATGAAATTGGACAGCTTGGTTGTAATCACTCCTCTAATCTGCATAAATTGTTCACTAATTATCCCAATCAAGTCAAAGTCTGTCATCAATCGAAGTTTGTAACGAATAGTTAATTTAGATAATACATATTAAAACGTCTGACATTGCTGTTTACCAAAAAAGGAAAAGAAAAGAAAAAGTCTAATATTGCTGCTGTCGGTAGGTAATGAATTGGGACGTTGACCACAATGTGTAACTTCAAATCAAGAGTACCGTCAACACAATCTGAAAATGCCTCTAACATCCGATCTTTGAACAAATAAAGCGGATCATATATATATATATGTGTGTGTGTGTATCAATTGTCTGGGCAATGCTAGCATCAAATAGTATTTAATCAATCAAACACCACGACCAAGGTGAGCACACACACAACGGGTCATATACGGCAATCAATTCTGCATTAATAACCATATTTTTAGGATTTGAATGGTAATACCAAAATGTTTTTCTTTTCCATATGATCAGTATTTGTAGAGGATGATTGATGTAGAACCAGTAGTCGATGATCATACATCTACATCAGAAGGCTAGATGAGGAGGCTGACACATTTTTCAGGACAATTTTCAATTATTCCGCACAAATTTCTTCATAATGGGAACCGGCCAAATAATCAATACTAACAAGCAATCCTCATGTCATGTATCGTATTTCGGCTAAATTCCATAATTTAGAAATTTGTTTTTGCGTTTTTCAGTGTTATAGAAAGTAAACTAAAAGTAATAGGCGGGCATGCAGTGAGGTTTTGTCAGAAGTGAGACTTTACATATTTGATATTGAATAGAGTTACTCTCGGCAATGATTTCAACCAAAATCTTTGGCCGAACACTAAGAATGGCCAAATGTAAGGAATTATGGATTCCACATTCTTAAATTTTTGCATATTCAATCAATCAATAATCTTCGACTACACATTTAGGTTAAAGTTCTCGTCCTTAAAAACATTTTTCTTTTGATATTTACAGAGTTTTAGATATTAAACTTGCGACACATAAGCAACAAATGAGAACGTGGTCTTGTTCTATAGAGCTACTTGAGGAGGCTGGAAATTATTTGTGCAACGCCCTAGTTGAAGATCAAAATGGACAGTTGCGATGGTCTCAATCATTGCTCTAATTTTCAAGAAATTGTCGACTAATTATCCCAAGTCAAAGTTAGACGACATCAATCAATTTTCTCATAATTAATTTTGATAATGCAGGTTGGCAAGTCTAACACCACTTTTGTGGATAGGGAGTTGACTAATTAATTGGGATGTTGGCCACAAGGTGTAACTTCAAATGTCAACACAGTTAGCAAAATAGATTGATTATATCACAGCCATAATCTGAGACTACGTACATATTCAATTCTCTTGCAGTGCTAGCATTAAAAGGCTATTTAATCGAATCAAACACCGAGCTAAGCACACACAAATTAAGTTAACGAAAACCCACTCTTTCAGAAATGAGTCTAATGCCTCTCGATCCTTCAGATTTCGAACACAATCTCTAGTGTTCATCACATTGCTGCATATGAGCGTAAGTAATCTCCCCAATGCCACTGCCAGTACTAGTAGCTTTAATGAAAACGAGAGAGATCGTCTTGCGTTGCTGAAGATAAAGTCAAAGATTATTCATGACCCTCAAGGTGCCACGAGCTCGTGGAATGATTCTTCCCATTTCTGCGAGTGGGAAGGTGTTACATGCAGTCATCGCCATAGAAGAGTCGCTGCATTAAACATATCGTCCAAAGGCTTGGTGGGCTCGTTGTCTCCTTATGTAGGAAACTTAAGCTTCCTTCGAGACATAAGGCTCTACAACAACAGACTTCAAGGTGAAATCCCTCCTCAACTTGGTCAACTGATCAGGCTGCAGAGATTGTTCCTCACCAACAACAGCTTTGAAGGAGAAATCCCAGCAAACCTATCACACTGTTTCAGCCTAACATACCTTCATGTAGGCTACAATAACTTAGTTGGGAAACTACCACAAGAACTTTATTCACTGTCCAAGCTCAAACAACTTGTCATTCACGCAAACAAATTAACAGGCGGGATCCCTCCTTCCATTGCCAATCTTACTTCTCTAGAAAGTCTCTCTGCCAATCAAAATTTGTTCACAGGAAGTCTTCCCAATGCATTGGGTCAATTGAAGCAACTAAGTAAAATTGGGTTATGTCGCTATAAATTCTCTGGTATGATGCCTACTTCAGTTTATAATATGTCTTGGCTTACTATTCTCTCTTTGTGTGATAATCAAATCCATGGTAGTCTTCCATCAAACATCGGTTTGATGCTACCTCATCTCCAAATGCTTCAAATATGGGGTAACCAATTTTCTGGACCTCTTCCACTCTCATTATCCAATTGTTCAGATCTAGATTGGCTTGAACTGGGACTCAATAATCTCAATGGGAAAGTAGCCATTGATTTTGGAGGCCTCAAGTATCTCTGGCGATTCAATCTCGACTCCAATAGTTTTGGAAGTGGAGAGCCTGATGAACTGAACTTCATTAGTTCCATGACCAACTGTAGCTATTTGGAAATGCTACGTATAGGTGATAACCAATTCAGAGGGATGTTACCAAATTCTGTGGGCAATCTCAGTAGACAACTTTTTGTGCTATCGCTTGGTGGGAATTTTATACATGGAAACCTCCCTTCATCAGTATGTAACCTTGTCAACCTGACTTACTTAATCCTACAAAATAACCAATTCACAGGTACAATTCCTGCTAATATTGGTAATCTTCAGAAGTTACAAGAATTGGACTTAGAACAAATAAGTTCTCTGGAAAAATTCCATACTCTATTGGAAACTTGTCATTGTTGATCGAACTTTACATGCAGGACAATAGGCTGAGGGGAATATTCCCTCAAGTCTTGGAAAATGCAAAAATTTGTTAAGGCTGGACCTTTCTCAAAATAACTGTAACGTCTCCAACTAATACTTTTTAAACAAAAAAAAAATTCGACATGACCTCCCCTAAAAATAGGCCTATCACAACCTGTTTAATTGCATTTTTAACCTGTCACGGCTCAAATTCCGAATTCACGGCAATAGTAGATGATAATACACAATCAAATGACCTCGATAATACCTCAAACTAGTATTACTCTCCCCATGCATCAATAAGGTTTACATGTTATCAAATTCACATCCAAAATATCATCAAATACCTTACATTACATAACAAAGTTTTGCAAAATATACATATACACCTTCACACTTTTAGTGCTTTGCAAAAATAATGGGAGATATACAAAAGACACAAAAGTGAGCTTCTAGTATCGCTCAAGCTTGAGGTGGGTTGTCGTCCACCGGTTCTTTTCCAAGACCTGAAAAAAAATATATAAATAGTAGGGTGAGCTATATGCTCAGTAGGTGACACTTAAGACACAATTCTTGTGTCCTAGTGAATCCAATCAAAGCATAGGCCAATGGGAGATAGGGATCATACAACATAGGGGATCGAATACAACATACAATTCAATTCCAATTATAAACAATGCAATGCAATGCAATGAAATGCAATGCATGTCAATGACACTCCCCATTTTCATTCTCAAAACCATCACTTTCAAACGTTAATACAGCCCGCCCTTTGGTAACCCCGCCGCGACACGAGAGGAGGATTGGCTAGTGTCCCTGACCCTTGGTAACCCCGCGGCGTCATTATGGGGCCCAACTAGCTCAACCACACTAGGGCGACTCCCTAGTCCCCTCTAGGCTATATTAACCTCCGGCCCGTTGGTAACCCCGCTGCGACCGGGTTTGTCAAAACCAATTTTTTTTTTTTTCCAAAACATTCATTCCCAAATCCCCATTTTCATTTCAAGACAACCACTTCCCTTTTTCATGCAACCCAATGAGATGTAGGCTCATATCATGATCTCAATATAATGACAAATGGGAACTTAGCACAATAATAAATAAGCATGTTCTCATGGCATCATTATAGCATGTTAGTAACCTCAAAAAAAAATGTAAACAACTATCACATAGACATACTTTTCATTCAACCATGTTATACACATTTACATAACTAGCATGTTGTCAATTAAATCATTTTAATCAAAATCAACAACAATTAAACATACTATAACACACATAGAGGAGCATGATTCATTATAGAGCAAGATTCCATGGCTTAAGATGTCCCTACCTCAAAAATGAGCAAACCCTAGAAAATGGGTCCTAAATTTCGAAGTCCAAAGGGTGCACCAAATCTGGAATTGTTGGTATGGATGTGTAGAGCTCGACACAAGCTTCGTTTTGCCTTAAACGGCACCTCAATCCGACAAAAGATGAAGGAGTAATCAATAATGGAAGCTTGAAATGAAAAGAAAAGAAAAAAAAAAAAAAAAAAAAAGACAAGAAGGAGAAGCAGAGGCGTCTGTCGGGAGAGAGAGAGCAAGGCAGAGACCAATTTTGGTCTCACAATTCACATAAAAAGTGATGTGGGTCCCACTTCTTTTATAATTTCTTTTTCTCATTTCCTTTTTCATTTAAATCACACACCACACACACACAATTATATACAAACATCACATTCTCCCCAACTTTAAAAAAATTTCGTCCTCGAAATCAAGACATACTTGAGGAAGAAAACAACGCTGGATACTTGGAGCGAACCTCCTGTTCAAGCTCCCAAGTAGCCTCCTCAACTCCGTGGTGTCTCCAAAGAATTTTCACCATCGGTATCGTCTTGTTCCTCAACACCTTCTGTTGTGTGTCAAGAATCTGAACTGGTCCTTCCTCGTAGGAAGCATCCTCATCAATATCCACATCTACCCAACTCAAAATGTGAGATGGATCCGGTTCGTACTTCCGTAACATCGATACATGAAAAACATTGTGGACCCTATCCAACTGTGGTGGCAAAGCAAGCCTGTAGGCAACCTCTCCTACTCTGTCCAAAATCTCAAACGGTCCAATAAATCGTAGCGACAACTTGCCACTTTTTCCGAATCTCATCAATCCCTTCCGTGGAGAAACCCGTAGAAAAACGTGGTCTCCCACCTCAAAGGATAACGGTCGTCTCCGCTTATCCGCATAGCTCTTCTGTCGGCTCTGAGCTGTAAGCAGCCTCTGTCTTATCAACTTAATCTTCTCAGTAGTCTCGAGTACAATGTCGGGTCCTAAGGCGGCTGTCTTACCTACCTCAGTCCAACAAACAGGAGACCTACAAGGTGATCCTCCCAACTACCTCCCAAATCAAGTACGCATGCCCGAAGCATATCCTCCAAAATCTGGATAGTACGCTCCGACTGACCGTCCGTCTGTGGATGGAATGCCGTACTAAAATGCAACGCTGAACCAAACGCTACTTGAAGTCCTTCCTAGAACTTCGAAGTGAACTTAGCATCCCTATCTGACACAATGGTTACAGGAATTCCATGCAACCTTACAATCTCCTTCACATAAAGAACACCAAACTTCTCTGCATCATCTGTTACCTTAATAGGCAAAAAGTGAGCCGTCTTGGTCAATCTGTCAATGATGACCCATACGGCCTCATTGCCCCTCTGTGACCTTGGAAAACCTGTCACAAAATCCATAGCAATATGCTCCCATTTCCATTGCGCTACAGGTAATGGTTGCAACAAACCAGCTGGCCTCTGATACTCGGCCTTCACCTGCTGACAGGTAAGGCATCTAGCCACAAACTGTGCAACATCATTCTTCATCCCGCTCCACCAATACTGACGTCTCAAATTGTGATACATTTTAGTACCACCTGGATGAACTGCAAAACGGGAAGTGTGAAACTCCCGTAGGACATCCTCATGACAAACTGTGGGAACCACCAACAAACCCCTGAACCGTAGACCCCCATCTGTATGCAAGGCCCAATCTTTCACTGTCTCACCACTAAAGATCAAAGCGTGGATGGCATCTAAGTCCGGGTCCTGTCTCTGTGACTCAATCACTCGTACAACAAGAGTAGGCTGAGCCACAAGACTAAATAAGAATGCCGACTCACTGCAACCATCATCATCACAACACTGTAATCCCATCTCTGCCAGATCTTCAAGTATCTTCCACTTCCGAATAGCTAAGCTGGCCAAAGTTCCACGAGATTTTCGGCTTAAGGCATCAGCTACAACATTTGCCTTGCCCAGATGATATTGCAAATCAAAGTTGTAATCTTCCAAGTACTCAACCCATCGTCTCTGTCTGTTGTTCAAGTCCTTTTGGGAAAAAAGGTACTTGAGACTTTTGTGATCTGAAAATACCTCTAATCTCTCACCATACAAGTAGTGTCTCCAACACTTCAAGGCAAACACAACTGCCGCTAACTCCAGATCATGAGTAGGGTAGTTAAGCTCGTGAGTCTTCAACTGTCGAGACCCATAAGCCACTACTCTACCATCCTGCATCAACACACATCCCAACCCATCACGTGAAGCATCACAATAGATCACATAACCCAAGCCTCGCTCAGGTATCACCAACACTAGAGCTGTAGTCAATCTCGTCTTCAACTCATAAAAAGATGAATCACAGGCCTCATTCCAGACAAACTTGACCCCTTTCCGGGTCAAATGGGTCATAGGAGCTGCCAAACGGGAGAAATCCTTCACAAATCTCCGATAGTAACCCGCTAAACCAAGAAAACTGCGGATCTCAAACACATTCTTGGGTCGCTCCCAAGTCAAAACTGCTTCAACCTTTGATGGATCAACTGATACTCCACCTTCTGAAACAACATGCCCCAAAAACTTCACCTCCTGTAGCCAAAACTCACATTTCTCGTATTTGGCATACAATCGATGCTCCCGCAAAATCTGTAGAACAATACTCAAATGGACCTCGTGATCTTCCCGAGTCCGTGAGTACACAAGAATGTCATCCACGAAAACTACCACAAACTGGTCCAAGTAATCGTGAAAGACGCGGTTCATCAAGTCCATGAATGCCGCTGGCACATTAGTCAAGCCAAAAGGCATAACAAGGAACTCATAGTGTCCATACCGTGTACGGAATGCTGTCTTCGGGATATCCTCATCCCTAACCCGCAACTGATAATAGCCAGACCTCAAGTCAATCTTCGAGAAACAACTGGCTCCCCTCAACTGATCAAATAAATCATCTATCCTTGGCAAAGGATACTTGTTCTTGATGGTGGCATGATTCAACTTCCGATAATCAATGCACAACCTCAACGAACCATCTTTCTTCTTAGCAAACAAGACCGGTGCACCCCACGGTGACACACTCGGTCGGATGAAACCTTTCATCCTCAAATCATCAAGCTGCCTCTTCAATTCTTCCAATTCAACTGGTGCCATACGATACGGTGCCATAAAAATCGGCGCAGTACCAGGCATCAAATCAATAGTGAACTCCACTTCTCGGTGTGGAGGCAACTCTGTCAAATCTTCTGAAAAAACATCCAAGAAGTCACAAACAATCGCCGGATAAACTTCTCCCACGACATCATCTTCTTCAGCTAAAAGGCTAGCCAAGAAGTAATCACCACGACTCCGTTTATGAATTCCATACAACGACGATGATTGGGGATCACTCCGATCTCCCGTGAAAAAGAAACAGTCTCCTTCTGGAGTGCAAACTGTAATTCTCCCTTTGAAACAATCGATCGTGGCATGAAAGAAGGCCAACCGATCCATCCCGAGAATGACATCAAAGCTAGTCATCTCTAGGAGGATAAGGTCAAACACAAAGGTCCGCCCGGCTATCACAATGGGACACTCCCGAACAATTCGGCTCAAAGACACTGAAACCCCAACTGGCGTATCAACACTCAACGCCTGTTCCAAGAAACTAACTTCCAACCCCGATGCAAGTGCAAATGATGATGAAATGAA